TTTACATTTCCAACCCTCACAATCAGTCCTGATAACAATTATTCACTATTGTATCACAAGAGACCCATCTGCATTTCATTTCATCAGCCCCACCTAGACAGATTGGATACTACTCAGTGGAGATTCTACCTTCCTCCATGCCCTCTGGATCTAGGTTGCCTCTTAAAAGCTTGTAAGCTGTCACTTCTTGCCTATGTAGCCCCCCCTCTCCCCACTTTGGGTAGCCAATGTCCAGGTTGCCCATCCCTGTCTACTCTGTGTATGGAGAGGGTGGGAATGATCCTTGAAGATTTGTTCCCTCTTTTGAACTACTGCATCAATAGGTGTAGGTCAAGTTCATCAAATTGTATCAGATTACTCTTTTTCTTCCTCGTCTTTCTTCTTCTAGTTGAGCTCTGATCATCCAGTCATTGAAACCAGATTAAGTGGGTATTCTCTGCAAGTGTGGGTGTTCTTGTGCATATGCCCTCTCTTCTTATAAGCTGGATGCTTCACTCTCCACTTTAGTCCTCTGTGGCTATGTCACTAACTCTGGGCCGAAGAGTCCCCAGGTCTTGCCACACTGCTGGCTGACCAGGTCTTTACCCAGGTTCAAAGGAGTCTATTGAATGTTGTAGGGCTTAGCTCATAACTTCATTGCTGTTTTTCTCCTACTTCCCCTTATCGGTGACAAACATAGTTACCAATCAGAGAGCGTATTCCCATTGAGTCTTAGTCTTGGAAGGGGATTTGCTCTGAAGGGACCTGACCACTTCCCTTGATGTTTCCTGGGTGAGCAACTTGTTCTTGTAGTAACAGTCAGTCTGCCTATATTGTTTTGTATTTTTCCTGTAGGTCTTTCTTTCAAGAAGTATCTTCTGTTCTTCTAGCTGGTCCAGGCTAGTCTGCCAGTCCTTTCAAGTGGAAAGTTCCCACCTCGGAAGATTCTGGATACTGTTCAGGATTCCAACTCTAGTCTCATGTAATGCAGAGGCTCCACAGGAAGCCTCCTTCACTGGGCACATTGTAGCCACATTTTAGGTATTCTGATCAGTTATAGGCAGAAGACGGCCTTACAAGCTTTCTATGGTGATGTATCTGGCTAGTGCTTTCTCTCCCCCTCAGTGTCTATTTTATATTATAATGCAAGGAATACCAAGATTCAAAAGACAGCCAAGCATCTTAACATTAATTCCCCCCATTTCCCCATTCCAACCATGTCTCAATCCCTGTATCCCAGAGCCCTGTTGTTTCAAGGTTGTGCATACACCATTCTTTACCTCGGTCCCACTTAGCCCATGCTAACCTACCTAATTGTTCTCCCATCTGCGTTGCTCTTCTATTCCCCTTACCCTTCTTATATATTGCCCCCCTCCCCAGCACCAAACGATCCTGTGTCTATTCCCTGCCCTGTGCTCCACCTTCTCCTCCCTCCCCTCACCCCACCCCCAACATCTGAGCAACCAGCAAAGAATCCATCCCCCTTTAGTATGGGTTCTTTTACTTAGTCTTTTACAGTAGTGGTCCTATGCAGTATTTCTCCTTTTGTGACTGACTAATTTCACTCAACATAATGTCCTTAAGGTTCATCCATGATATGTGGTGGCTTGCAGCTTCCTTGTTATTCTTCAAGGTAGCATAATATTCCATTGTGTGTATGTACCACAGTTTGGTTATCCATTCTTCAGTTGATGGGCACTTTGGCTGTCTCAGTCTTTTTGCTATTGTAAATAGTGCTGCTGTGAACATTGATGTGCATATTTCTACTCGTGTTATGGCTCATATTTCTTGTGGGTAAATACCAAGTAGAGGAATTTCTGGATCATAAGGTATTTCTATTTCCAACCTTTTGAGGAAGCACCATATTGCTTTCCAGAGAGGGTGGGATTCATATCAGGGATGCAAGGATGGTTCAACATCCATTCCTGATAAAAACACTCAACATTCTGGTCTCTCTTCCCATTTTTACATAGGGCCTATAGAAATAATCCAGTATAATCTGCTCATTTAAAAATTCTTTATTTAATCCACATTTGCAAGTTCTCTTTGTCACATAAAGTTATATTCCCAAGTTCCAGGGAGTGAGTATGTGAGTGTCTTTAGGAGCCATTTTCCAACCTATAGCATTTTGTGATCATGTTTCACAGTATTGAGAACTGATATAATTTGTTTTGCTAGGTTTTAGACTTGTTTCTAACTTGGACTTTCTCTGATTTTTAATAGGAATGTTTAGTCTGTTTGTTCCACTGTTGTATTTTGTAAACAAATATCTTATATTCTAGATTTCATAAGTGCAAAGATGGAAAGGAATTCTAACCCAAGGTGGAATATGCCAAGATTCACACCCATACTTAATTTAATTGATTCAGAACATGAGATTCTGGATTTAGAGTTGATATTAGATTTTGAAATGATTTAATGGGGTGAATGTGTTTTGCACATGGGAAGGACATGACATTTGGGGAGACAGAGGATGGAATTTTATTAATTGAATTGTCCCCCCAAAATATGTATTGCAAATCCTATCATCTATACATTTAGCTACAGTCTCATCTGGGAATAGAGTTTTCTCTGTTATGTTAACAAGGCAATGTCAGTGTAGAGTGTATCTTAAGACAATCACTTTTTGAGATATAAAAGAGCAGATCACACTAAGATATAAGAGTAAGAGATTTTTTTTTGAAAATGCTGTGAAATGTACAATTTGCCACAACATCAAAAAATATATGTGGTTACATATGTAGTTAAGTTTTTTTTGAAAGTATGTATTTGTGTGTATGTTGTTGTTAAATGCTGTTGAACTGGTTCCAACTCATAGTGACCCTGTATAGGGTTTCCAAGGTATGTTGTTGTTATGTGCAGTGGAGTCGATTCCGACTCATAGCGACCCTGTACAGGGTTTCTGAGGCTATAAATCTTTACAGGAGCAGAAAGCCTCATCTTTCTCCATGGAACAACTAGTAGTTTCGAACCGCTGACCTTGCGGTTCACAGCCCGATTCGTAACCACTACGCTACCAGAGCTAAGGAGCTCTGGTAGCGTAGTGGTTACGAAACGGGCTGCGAACCTTAAGGTCAGCGGTTCGAAACTACCAGCCGCTCCGCAGGAGAAAGATGAGGCTTTCTACTCCCGTAAAGATTTACACCCTCAGAAACCCTGTACAGGGTCGCTATGGGTCGGAACCGACTCGACGGCACTTAACAACAACAACAACACACTACCAGAGCTAGGTAGATATACATGGAGCTCTGGTAACGTAGTGGTTATGAATCGGGCTGTTAACCTCAGGGTCAGCAGTTCGAAACTACCAGCTGTTCTGCAGAAGAAAGATGAGACTTTCTGCTCCCGTAAATATCTATAGCGTCGGAAACCCTGTACAGGGTTACTATGAGTTGGAACCGACTCCATGGCACATAACCACCACCATATACCTATATGTATATGTATTGTTGTCGTTAAGTGTCGTCAAGTTGGTTCCAACCTATAGTGACCCAGTATAGGGTTTCTGAAGAGTGACTAATAAGCTTGAACTAACAACTTTGCAGTTGAAACCAACTTTGTAGTCCAGGACTTTAAACCACAGCACCACACCAGGACTTCATGTATATGTATATACATGCATATGTTCTCATGCATATATACCCAGATATATGATAAAGCATGTAGTGGACACAGTTATGGATACTTTTTAGACATAACCAATACCTCACTGGGTTTACTGAGTTTACATAGTCTTGTCAGACAGCTTAATCAGTAGGCATGGTTTCGTTCATAACATTTATGCTCTACATTCCAGTTTGGTGAGTGTCTGGGGTCTTAAAAGCTTGTGAGTGGCCATTTAAGATACAACATGGTATTTTCAATAACGTCATATACATGTGAAAGCTGGACAGTAAATAAGGAAGCTCACAGAAGAATTGATGCTTTTGAATTATGGTGTTGGAGGAGAATATTGAAAGTGCCATGGGCTGCCAAAAGAACCAACAGATCTGTGTTGGAATAAGCACAGCCAGAGTGCTCCTTGGAGGCCAAGATGGCCAAACTTCATCTCTCATACTTTGGACATATTGTAAGGAGGGGCCAGTTGCTGGAGAAGGTTATCATGTTTGGTAGGGTGGAGGGTCAGAGAAAAAGAGGAAGACCCCTAGTGAGATAGATTGGCCAAGTGGCAGCATCAATGGGCTCAAGTGTGGCAACAATTGTGAGGTTGGCCCAGGACTGGGCAATGTTTCATTCTGTTGTTTATAGGGTCATTATGAGTTGGTATTGACTCGATGGTACCTAACAACAACAACAACATTGGTCTCTACTAATGTGGAGCAAAAGAGAATAAAGGAAACCAAAGACTCAAAGAAGAAATGTTTCTACAGGACTAAAATCCTATATGAACTATGGTCTCATTTATCCTGAGACCAGAAGAAGAAGATGGTACCCAGCC